AGCAGAGTTACCTGACAACGGGAGAGGAAATACGAGACGTGCAGGTGTCGAGCTCAAATCTGACCCCACATCCCCAGGAGACACACGGGATTCCTGGTGGACAGCAAGTGAGCAAACCCAGATGCACACAGAGCAACAGGATTTGTGAACATGACGGCGCTCTGAGAACCGAAGAGCACGCGGTCACACGGGGAGGTGTGGTCTAAACAAACTGCCTGTGTGTGTTTCAAACACCATAAAGCAGAAAAGACGGGCACCGTCCTGTGCCTCTCACTGCGAACGCTGTGCCCTTCCTTCCCATCACGGGGACGTGGCATATCATTTATGTGACGTGATTTTTCTGGTTTCTGTATCATACTGTAAACAGAGCTTACATCCTGCCTTTCCCACCCGTTAAGCGGGAGACCTTAGCCACGTAGCAGGAACAAACGCGGGGTCAGCCTGAAATCTGGACCTGGAGGTGGGGCCGTGTCTCGGCCCCGGTCCTGGACATGAACTTCGGGCTCTCCCAGGCCCCATGAATGCCCATGGCGTGGTGGCCAGGCAGGCTGGTGGCCAGAACCGGGGTCTGGCACAGTGACCGGGCCCAGGAGGGTCTACAATCGCAAAGGACGGCCCACAGCGTGTGTGCAAGAACTGGACCAGAGTGCCCTGCCCCTCGGGGGCCTTGGGCTCCTGGATGTCCAGTCTCGCAGACCAAGGCCTCGGCGCCCGCAGAGGGGACAACTGCTGGGCTCCTGCTGGGTGTGTCCACAAGGCTGCCGTCTTCCCTGTGTCTGCTGCCCTCATTGTGACAACTGAGCACGGCACCACAAATTCCATAAAAACGTAATTTCTGATAGCTGCATAATAGTCAATTACACAAATGTACCATAATTTACTAATGATGCCCTATTGTCCAACACTTTGGTTGTTTCCAACATGTCTATAAATATCAAAGAAATAAACACCCTTGTGTTCAACACTCAGCCCGCAGTGTAGACGTTTCCATGAGGAGAGCTCCCGCGAGGCAGCGCTCACGGGCCCGGACACTCTCAAGGCTCTAGTTACAGATTCCCCACAGCTCCACAGTGCGCTTCGTCTTCACAGAACCTCAACGTTTCCTGGTAGAACACCCAAAAGTGGAGGGAGAGGGCCCCCCGCGGCCTGAGTCCCATTCCTCCCCAGGTTCCTGAAGACCTGTGGACCAGAAGGAGCCACGTCCACCAGGGAACAAGGGAAAAATGGGGAGAGTTAACGCTGGCCAACTCCTGCAAAGCCCGCCTCATGAGCTGCCACCTCCAGCAATGGAAAACGTGTCGGAAGCATCTGGAAGCCTCGGATGTAAGGACAGTGCCCAGGATTCGGAGTCACAAAGACCTGGGTGTGAATCTCCATTCCTGAACCTACCGGCTGACCCCCCCGAAAACAATGGTCACATGACGTCAGTACTCCCGCTCACAACCCTCCAGCATCTTCCTGGCCCTAAGTAAAATGCGAAGTATTTTCCACGCCCACAGACTTGCGTAGAGGGCTGTGTAGCACCCATTACAACTTCCAGCACGGCCCTCCGAGGGCTCGCTGAGGGAGGAAACATAAAGAGAAAAGTCCTTGGTATATATAAATTCTGGGAAAAAAAAAAAAAAACTTTAAAAAAAGGCACTCATAAGAAGCCATAGGGATGCTAAACGAAAGTTGAATTTGACCAACATGAAGGAGTACTTCCTCCACGCCAGGCCCTCACGCCAGGGGTGAAGGTTCAAGGACAGTGAGACGAGGTGCCTGGCTGGACCGCCTCTCATCCTGGAGGGGAGTTGGACACTGCACGACCCCAGATGCCGAGTGACCTGCATTGCATCCCGGGGCTAACCCGGCCTGCCAGGGCGCCTGGCATGGAGGGAAGCAGGAGGACTCTGCTCTTGCCGCACCCGTCCCGCGGGGCCAGGCCAGCCACGGCCTCGGTTTCTCTTTTAACAGACGAGTGTGAGCCTGCCTGCTCTTTGCACCGCTGGAAGCTAACCGAGCAGTGCGTGTGGCAGGCAGCCCAGGGCGCGGCACCTGCTAGGTGTCCATACCTGCCGTCCCTCTCCGATCCCGCCACGACAAAGCCTTCTGAGAGCAGAGGCTGAGCTTTCCTCTGCACCAGCCAGGGGAGCACGAGTTTAACGGGGGCTCAGTAAGCCCCGATTGCAATGACAAGGACCCACCGCCACAGCGAGCACGCCCACGCACTGTGCCACATCAGATGTCCCTATGCCGGCCCGCTGTTTGGCACATGGTGGGTGCTCCAGTAACTTCTGAATGATGGCAGAGAAAATGAAAGGATGTTTCGTCAACTGTAACGTGATATATTAATACAGGACAAAAGCCACCACCCTGTAAAGACAGTAAAAAAAATGAACGATAAAGACGAAGCCGTAAGAAGCGTGGTGCCTTCCCTTTACATGTGAATGAAGTGGGACTGCAGTCTGTCCCCAACGCCCGGTGCCCTTCCAGCAGGACGGGCCACCGCGCCCACGTGATTGCAGGCTGCGCTGTGACTTACTTTGACCAACAGCACGTGCAGGAAGGGACACGGGCCACGTCCGGCAGAATGCTCCTGAGCTGTCAGGTGACCTGACGCCTTCTCTTTTCCCTCTGCCCAAACCAGCAGGTCTCAGAGAGGACACGGGTCGCGAATGAAAGCAAAATGGAGCAGAGCTAAAACCGACCTGTGACGCACACGGGGCCTGAATGAAACACATTTTTTTGTTGCTGTTTGTCCTAAGTAAGATTCTGGGTCTTCCGTCACCACAGGGTAACTTAGCCTAGACTGAATGACACACTAGTGACACGATTCCGTCCCTACTGGGCCAGGCACTGGGCTGAATGGCAGCACAGAGAGGTGGAGAAAACGGGACCCCTGCCTAAAGGTGGCCGCAGGGCAGAGAGGGACATGAAAGCAGGTGCTGTGACCGCGCGAGATGCAGAGGACACGAGGATGAAGTGCTGGAGGAGCAGGGGACGGTCCGGGTCTTAAAGGGTGGACGCGTGGCTAGCAGGCCGCTGGGCGGGGCTCTCCGGGAGGAAGGAGTGGACTGCGCCGGGCGCAGCCTCCAGCCCCAGCGCGGTACTGCGGTTTCCGCCCAGCGATTTTCCTTTCTTCTTCCTCCTTTCTGCTATGAAACAAAACCTGGAAACAGCACAGTGAAAGAGGCAAAAACAGCGAGCATTGTCTTTAGCTTAGAAAAATGCACAACGATTCTTAGAAAACTAAACATACTCTTACCACGTGATCCAACAATCGCACGCCCGGTAGTTACCCAAAGGAGCTGAAAACTCACATCCACACAAAACCTCCTCACGGATGTTTAGAGCTTTATTCAGAATCCCCGAAACTTGGAGGCAACCAAGACGTCCTTTGTGGGCGAGTGGATAAACCGCGGTCGTCCCGAACAAAAGGAACCAGTGCCGGAAAAATTGAGCAGTCGAGCCGTGCGAAGCCGCGGGGAACACGAACTGGGTGTCGCCAAGCGAAGGGGGCCGATGTGGGGAGGCCGCACTGTGCGATCCCAGCTCCGTGGCCGCCGGCCGAGGGAGCACTGAGGGGCCGTAAGCGAACGGCGGCTCCCGGGAGGGGGCGTGGAGGGCCGAGGAGCGGGGCAGAGGACTGCGATGGCGGACACACGGCACTCTGCGCGTGTGATGATACCATCTATGCCCAAATCCACACAACGCACAGCGCCAAGAGCGCAAAAACCAACCTTTCCCCAATAACCAGCGGGTCTGGGGGGGGGACGGACACGCCCGACGACGTGTGCGTGTGCTGGTTGTTCGTGTCTCACGTCGAGCTGAGAGCCTGCAGCCTCCGTCCTGACCTTGCAGCCTCTCCGCTCTGCTGCCTGCCATCTGCTTGCACGGCCCCCGGTCCCCAATGAGCCCGGGAATAGGCCCCCACTCCAGGGGTCTTGGGCTCTTTCTCAGGGCGGGACGCCAGCCCGTTCCCCATGTCCTGTGACTCTTGAGATCTACAAGATGATCCTGCTGTCAGGTGAGAGGATGGCTGGACAGGGCCAACAGGACTTGGCAGGCCTTCAGGCGTCTGGAGCCACGAAGCCAGTGGACACCGACAGTGTACGTAACAGCCACGCGCTCCCGGAGGCAGACCTGTGCGCTCCCTGTGGGCCTTATCTGAAAGGGCCTGCGCCTGTTTCCAGAACGACGTCGCTGACAGAGAAGGGCCCTCTAAGGTTCTGGGCCAGCTCCCATGGGGCAGGTACGAGAGCCAGGGACGCGGGAGCTGTGCGCGCAGAGCTGTGCGCTCAGTTCATCCTCACCCCGAGCCGGGCACACGGCCTCGTCGCCCCTGTCCAGTGGCGTCCACCTGGCGCGCAGAGGTGAGCCATCTCTCCGGCCACCGACATACGGTAATGGGGAGGCGATGCCGACTGCGTCTGCCCTTCGGCCAAACCCCACAGGCTGCAGCAAGTCCTAGACATCCTGAACGCTCCCCCAGCCCCCAAAAACAAATTCGAGGGAGAGTGAGGGTATTGTCGCTCCTTTGGGGGCCGGGTGGTGAGCCAGACCCGGAGTGATTCAGCTCTGGGGGCACGCCAGTCACCACAGGCTGCCGAGAGGCCTCCAGGTCCTGTGGGCATCCGGGAGCACTGAGCGGTGCCAGCGCCCACCCCCACCCCCCAGGGCAGCTGCTGAGCGTGAGCCTTAAGGATGCGGCGAGCGTGACGGTTCAGAGCCGAGAGCGTGCAGGAAACAGCCTCCCTGCTTCCCCTGGTCCTTTTCCAAACCTCGGACAGAAAGCACTTTTGTGTTTTGTTTGGTTTGAGCTTATGAAGAAGAGTTATGGGGTTTCTTAATGTTTACTGACCCACGAGGGATGAAAGCGCATGCATCTGGTTCAAGAGTTCCACGCTAGGCGTTTGGGGGGTAGGGTCAGACAAGAGAAAAACACCAATGTGTCCATCACGAAAAGAAGATGAGCAGACACACAGTGTCTTCGGATGCAAGCACGTGGGGACACTTACCGCTGGCATTCGCTGGGGTGCAGGGTGAGCTCTTCATTGCTCCGGGCGCAGACTGTCAGCTCGTGCTCGGTGCAGTTGAAGACATCCAGGAGCAGGTGGCACTGCCGGGTACTGCATTGGAAAGACAAAGGCAAGTTCAGTCTTCTGTCAGGCAGAGAGGAGAGCGACTTCGCTTTTTCCTCCTCCCTGAAGCTTTTCCACTACTTGAAGATGTCAGAAATGCGACTCATCAAAAATGCCAAGTGCCCCTGGACATAAAAGATTGCTGAGACTCATTCTGAACAAAACTGTAAGCGCCAGAAAGTGGGTTTGGAGAGCCTGGTTGTTCCTGGCGCCACCTGCGTAACCCCGCTGTGCCCTTTACAAACCGAGTGAGCCTAGAAGGGAACTCGAGTCCTCCCAGCCTCGCACACGTGAGGACCACGACGCCCGGCGCGGGAGCAAGACGCCCTGCAGGAAGGCAGCTGGCTGCAGCGCCATTCGACACACGTCACGTGTGTCACCGTCCCAAACGTGCAGCAGAGTCCCACAGGTTCCAGAGGTGCGGGGCCCTGGTCCGTGGAGAGGGAGCCCCAGCTGGCGGTGCACGAGTCTGCCGTGAGCCTCGCACCTCTCACTCCCCTTCAGAGCCGTGGAAGACACCGTTGGTCTGTCTCTCGCCCCCACTGGAAGCCCCCTCCTTTGTCTTCTCTACTGCAGATGGTAAAGAGGACCCTCTGCCACAGGGGCGGTCCGTGGGACAGAGCTCTAGCCAGCAAGGGTGGAGCCAGACCTCCCATCCCAGAGGGAAGACGAGGTCAGAGAGGATGTGCTCACCCTTCGGGCTCCCTGTCCCCTCTCCTTCCTCTCTAGAGACGAGAAGGAAGCCAAGAAGCTCGGTGCCACTCAGAGGCCATGAGGACAGACGCCACAAGCTGCGGGGTCAGGAAGGGACAGGGGGATGAGGACACCCTTGGCAGCCGAAGCAGCCCCACACTGCCTCCCGCCTCTGGACCCGTTAGCTACACACACAAAACAAAAACGCCACCCGCACACGCCCCGTGGGTGTTCGCCACCACTTGCTGGAACACCCGCTTAAACGAATGCGGCACCCCAAACGCGGCACCCCAAACGCTAAGTATCACAGCTGGAGCGTGACGGGTACGTGTCTGCGGGTCTAAACGGGACAGCCGGACCCACGACAGCAGCAGACACGGGAGGAGCAACAGAAGCAGAAGACCCAGAAAAGGATTTTGCTCTGGGTCCTTCTCAGCACAGTGTGACTTTAAAACAGGACGCTGCCGGGGGCACCTGCCTTCTCAAACGCATTTCCTGGAGTGCGTGCTGGCTATGGAGGAAGCGGGGGACCGCGCACACCACGGGAGGCCGGGCCGCCTGCACTGTATGTGTCACAGCAGCCCTGGGAGCTGTCCCCCCAGCCTCCTTCCCGGGGGAGGGACACGGGGCTCCACGGACGGTGGAGACGCCAAGGAGGCGACTGAGACTCCAGGCTCCGAACTCGAAGTCCTCTCGCTTTGCAGTGGATGGACGCATATCTCAGCTGCAAGCCTCGTCCCGTTCTTTCCAGAGAAGGGGACTCGTCAAGGGTGCGCGCACACACGCACGCACACGCACGCACACACGCACACACATACAGGCACCATCAAAAGGCCACCTGCGAAACATCCGTTTTCCAAAGTGCGTACATGGAGCCCGCTCCCAAGGGAGGAGGCGGCTTCGCGGCTTCGCTGTGCACGGCTGCTGGATGCTGCCGGCACGTCCTCAGGACAGGCTCCCACCGGCTGACTGTGGGCTCTCGGGGTGGGGGCGTCTCCTCCAGAGGTTCGACACTTGGAAAATATTCATTAGCTCTGACAACTGCCTACAAGAGGCCTCTCCACTCAGCTCACAGAAAAATGAGCTTCCAAGAATGATCCATTCCGCCTTTGTCATAACTTCACGACATCTTTAATCACAGCAAAACCTTTCATCGGAAGATGGGATTCGTAAAACATTTATCAGGGGAGGAAAATGGAAGTGATTTTGAAAAGCGGGGACGGGGGGCCAAATCTCTCTCGTTTCCACTCCCAGGACGGCAAGGAAACGGCAGGCGTGGACGACACGGCTCTCCTGCCCCGCTGTCTCTGACTCACTGTCTGAGTGTGGGGTGCCTCGCCCAGTGTCTCTCCTCCTTTGATGGCTGACAGTAGGATCTGTCGGTGGGTGTTTGCTTTCTATCTATTATTCATAAATGAATTCCCGTCCCAGGCTGCACTAGGGCTCGCCATGACGTCTGGCCTCTGCGTGTCTTCCCACATCACCCGGACGATTTTCTTTTAAGTTTTATACTCCATTTGAGCAAATAGTTTGCACTAATTCTTGCTTTTTATTTGTTTTGTTTTGTTTTTTTTCCTGGATCCGTCTTTCTGAAGTACAGGGAAGCCCAGGGAAGCTGCCTGGAGGAACCAGATCAGAGCAAGTCTTGGAAAGACAGACCCACCTGCCTGCCTGGTTTGGGGGAGCAGGGAAGAACCGAGGGTAGAGCTGTGGGTGGGAAAGAGACACGGGGTCCAGGTAAGAAGGGTGTGCACGTGCGACCACCTCAACACAGTCAGTACATGCTACCTTCTCTGCCGAGAAATGGGAGTTTTATTGATTAACTCACTGAACAAATACCAATACCTACTGAGCGCCCGGCGCCCGGGGTGGGCCAGGCACTGTCCCGGGCACTTGGGACACGGAAGTGAGCAAGGAAGATGAGACCTCTGCTCTCGTGAAATCGCACACTCCCGAGGGGGCAGGCTGAGAAAGGGGAGGGGAGTCGAAAAATATTTTTACTTTCGTCATATTCTGTAGACTGTAAAATGAAGAAAACAGGGTTCAGAAAGGTTGCTGAGTGGAGGTAAGTTAAGACACACGCCCACACACAAAAGCGTAACACTCCTACATGTAACTAAAAACAATTACAAAATGAAATTTTTAGGAAAGTGGATTTGCAACAGCAACGCACCTAGAAATAAATCGAACAAAACGTCTGAAGGATATTTGTGGAGAAAATTCTGAAGTTTTATGGAAGATGAATAAATGCGTAGATGTGTTATGTTCAAGAATTACAAAAATTAACATTTTTAAAGGAGTCACTTCTTTCCAATTTTGTATAAATTCAACGCAACTTGAAAAACTAAAATCCCAACAGGGTTTCGGTCACACCTGACACGCTACCCCTACAATGTACACATAAGGGCAAAGGGCCACGAACGTGCAAAGTGACAGAACGATGCGGACGACCGGATGCCAAGCACTGTCACGAAGCTGCAGTGACGAGGGCGGTGGCGCTGGGCGTGACGGAAGAACAGAAGCGGATCCCTGACGCTGTGGGGACGAGGTGTGAGACCGAGGGGACAGTGCCGGTGCGGCCACGGATGGTTACAGACAGACAGGAAGCGCGGTCCCTGCCTCACGCCATGAACGAGTGCATTTCAAATACACTGCATGAGGAATTAAATGTAAAAAAGTTAAATGTAAGACTCTTTAGAAGAAATACAGGTGACCTTGAAAGAGGCACCTTTCTCAGATGAGTCACGAGGGTTTGGGGAGGTGACACCAGGAGGAGTGGCAGCGGGGGACACAGGGAGGCATGAAGCGCCACGACGGTGCGTGGCTGCTGTGTGACTGAGCTGGTCACCCTGTGGGCAGCTGGGGCTCGGCCCCACCGGTCCCTCTGAGGAGCCACGGGGACTGTGCCCACGAGACGAAGAGGGCATTACTTCTCCAGGTCCTGCCCACTGTGCTCGAGCTGCCCCCCGAGGGGCACTGTGCAGAGCGGGTACCCATACGGCATTTAGAATATTCTAGACGTCAAGAACTACTACGCAGCTGAGATGAGGGGCTGTCAGGTTACTCTTGTGAATATCTGGTTGCCACAGAGATTTACTTGTGTAAAAAGTGGGCTAGGATACGAGGCAGGGAACAAGGTGTGTGATGCGAGTATTTTCTAAAAACGAAGTGCACCTTCTGAAATCGTACACACATTATAATCCCATGTAGAGAACATTCTGGGGCAGTCCAGACTATAGCAGTGGACAAGTGAGTGGCTGGAGAACAGGTCAGTGGTCGCCAGAGGTTAGGGGTGGGGCAGGGTATGGTTACAAGGAGCAGCATGATGAAGTCTCGGAGGTGACAGAAGCGTCCTTTATCCTGATTATAGTGGATACACGAATCCGAATGAGGTCAGAGCTCAAAACTATGCACCAGAAAATTTTGCTATACGTTAATTTACAATTCTTCAAATAAACGCAATTAAAAAATAAACACCACAACGATCTTGATGAGCCCGAGCGCGTGAAGCTTGTTCTGAACCCCAGTTTTTCTGTGTAATGACTGTAACGTCTTAAGCAAGTCATTTCATTTCTCTGAGCCTCAGTGTCCCCATTGAGACAAGAATGGAATTATTAGGAGGCTCCACCAACAAAAAAAATTAAATGAAAGTACTTCATGAAATTACAAGTAGGATATTACTGCGTAAGCATGAGGGGCGGGTGCTGTTGTTAGCTGGGCTGCTGCCGTGGAGCAGTCAAGGAAAGGCATCCCGCCCTGCCAGCCAAGCGATCCGGCCGATTACTCGTACGGACTCAGCTAGGGCCGAGCACGAGGCATTTCCACGCCAGGGACTGCATCGGTCTGAAATCCGTGGCGCCGAAGCCAGAGAGCAGGTGTGGCTCTTCCCTCGAGGCCACCCGCTGGCTGGCGGGCCTGCGACAGGCCACACGTGGGAGTACGTGAACACAGCCAAGACAGGTGGTCGGGCCGCGGGCACCTCGGGCCACATTCCCGGGGTCTTTTAAAATTCTATAAGCCTAGTTTCTCATTCTGTCTTCTTTCCAGAAAAAAAAAAAATAGTAGCCAGTTTCAGGATGGAGAGCTTCCCTGTACGTCTTAAGCCAAGACCTTAATTCAGCCGAAAGCGAAGGAAAAACAGAACGAGGGCTCCAAATGTGCTTCTGGTGACAGAAGTTCACTGTCCCCTCTGCCACACTGAGCTCCTGAGCTCTCGAAGCTCCTCGCAGACCGTGACTGACTCCCCATCCGGCAAACCAGGGTTTCTCGAAGCGTAACGCAAGGACCGCCTGGAG